GGGTAACTGCTTAAAGTTGAAGCAACAATATAGCCGTCTAGAGTGTCGACGGAATTACTTTTACCTTCGGGTTGGCAAACCTTGGAACGCACTCCCAGACTCAGTTGTATCCTCTCCTACCTTGGATGTTTTCAAAAAACGATTAGATGTTGCTCTTAGCTCCCAACATTTTGTTACCTAAAACCCCCCTACTATGGATTACGCCAAGGATGCATTCCAACAGGATTTATGTATCAGATGGACCTAAGTGAGTGACCATATTTTACTTTTCTCACTCCTTACCTCAATGATCACTGCACCCCAGTGTCTTTCTGAACGTTTACGCTCGATTATTTATTTTAATTTTACACTGATGTTACTTATCAAACTATTCATCTCGGCAGACGTTCGATAGATGACCCAGACATATTTTGATTTCATCATATTCACCTCAACCATCCTACGGGACGTGTCAAGCACTTGATTTTATCCCGTGATAAAGCATTGTTCATTGTTCATTGACTTGATAAGGTTAGCTGTGTGGATGAAGCGATCAACTAGTTAGATTTGTAAGGGGAGATAACTGGCACAGTAAGGTAGCAAAATGTTGTAAACGTATACCATCTAATTTATGTACGCTTTCTTACTCGTTTTGTGAATCAGTTTCATCTATGGGTTGCCAAAGACGTACTAGTCTAATCGGGTTAATGCTCTGTTGTGGGTCACGGTCGACGTACAAGTGTAAGAGTAGCCTGCATTGCACTGCACGTATGTCATCGGTTATTCGATTGTCGTCGATACACCTGAAAAAGATAGACATGGGGACCAATAGTCGGGGCTATCTCATGAAACATCGAAGGGTTTACAGATGCCCACTGCGGAAAGAATTCATCAAAGCAATGGTGCAAACGGTTATATCGGACTGATGGATGACAGTCAATGTTATCGCTTACCCACCTCAGAAGTATTGGTAGTGGCAATATTCGCGTTAAATAATTGATTGCAGCATACTGACGTCCGCGACAAAGGTTAGCAAAAAGCTCCATCTGTCTCAGATAATACTCCAATAAATTTCTATCTTGTAAGCTCCTGCAAGTGGAGCGATTGTGAACTAGACGGATATTGGCGCAAACACTTGACAGAGACGTGTGTGCTCTACATTTGGTATCTTGAGAAACTGCCATTGATGCTGCACCAGTTCCTTCTTTTGATGCTTTTAGAGATAAATAAATCTCCTCATTTTCTATCCTGAAAATGAATGATAAATGACGGTGAACTATGTACTCATCAACATACCAGTTTGATCCCGTATTAAATTCAAATGTCAGGAGAGTGGTTAACTAATTCCGTTACTATATAGGAAATACTGAGGTTCATTAGTTTAACGAGTTGATTGTATTCGACTGAATATGGTAGCCCATAATAATCACATCTCAATGCTGAGAAGCAATAAACTGAGCCACAAATAAGCTGCGCAACCGTTTTGAGGCCCATGAGGTTTCTCTGCAAGACACACTTGAAAAACGGTCGCATAACGAATGCTCCCTTCACTGTCAAAGGGTTTACATGCTCTATCTTCATCCAACGCAAGCCTCATACACTCATTAGATTCGGATTCACTTCACGCATTCTGTAGGTACCATTTACGAAACTGTTCACTATGGATCATGATTTTTGCGATGCAAAGTGTTTTAGTGCGTTTCGTGCTCAGCTTCCCACGTGTAACTTTGTAGTTTTGCAACAACTCCCAAGGCTGCGAAATTGCACTCTATAAGGTATCATCCGCGCTACCCCGCGGTTTTAGAATTACTCTTTAGGAACATTTCAAAGGAAGCCAAGAATCAATTTATGGCTTTAGAGTACATTCGCCCATCGCCGACAAGGTCACCGACATCCACCCAATACAAAGCAAGTTAAAGAGCTTAACCTCACGCCAAGCATTTTCAGTTGATAAAGCAGCTAGACTGCATGTGAGTGTGCGTCATTCCAGTAACCAACCTACCCCCGATAACCAAAGACAAACACACCGTGACAGCGAAATTGAGGATCACTCACCCTCTACCTTAGGTGACCTGACAGGTGCTGGGTCCAGTCGCAACAGCAGCCATTCCCGACTATGTTTCCACTTAGCAGTAAACGTCGTATACCGAAAAACGCCTTGGTGATTAGGAAAGGACTGGTTTTCTTTTACTGTGCCGTAGCATACCACCTCAAGTGTGGTGACATAAGTCAAATACAATTAAAGAATACTAACAACGCGACCGATACAACGGTCAACTGTACAGTTGTTCTCGTGAAAAAGATTGAAAAACTGACTGAAGCAATTGGGCAGATGGGGAGCCCTAGTGCATCGCCATTGTAATCGAACACAACTTATCCTCTTCTCCAGCAACCCTCTCTGAGCTCCGTCCCTAGGTCAAAAAGTAAAGTCGGTCTCGCTAATCACCCCACCCTAACTGCGCCACTTACTCTGACACATGCTAGTCCCTTAATTCGGCAAGTGGCTACTACTTTTACCCCATTAACGGAAGCTACACCTAGCGAATCGGTTATGACACTGGTAGCTCAGAGTCAGAGGAAAGCAAGTACAAGGAAAATGGGATAATGTACGCCTCAGTCACCACGACAAATACATCGAGAATGGTACCTGTAGGTCCGTCTTCTGTACGGAGCGTAAGCGGTGCGACGCAGCTTACGCTGTCATCTCCTAAAAATTCCAAATCACCAGTAACAGCTTTCAAACCGGCATTTACTAGACAGAATCACAGTGCGTTAACTCTCGTGTGCATTAACGTTCCCGAGTCTAAATCCGTCACAATAAGCGTCAAGTTGCTAGATGAACGCGCCAGGTTGTCAACCGAGATTCAGCTAAAGGCAGTAGACGCAGGACAACGAGTGGTCAGTAATTCTCTGGAACATGCTACCTCAGCAAATCAATTTTCTCCACCGTCCCGCAGAGAGGCCTACACAACAGCACCCACAGCACCCGATCGAACGGAGCGAAGCACAAGAGAACATCCTGGCCAGGAACATTCTGTGAGGCCGTGCAAGTCGACTGAAGTTCCCAAACAAACCACGTACAAAAATACAATTAGCGGCAGACCGCCTAAGAGTTGGCTGTACATAAAACCCGCATTTGAAATCTTAACAACAAAAACACTAACATTTTTGTAAGCTAACGCCTAAGCTGTCCTTAGTAGGTTGGCCGAAATTAGAGAGCGATAGACTTCACAACAGCGGAACCTCATCATGATTAAAGAGATCTGGTTAAACCCAGAGGTCACTGATTCTGAGGTCAATTTATCCGGCATGTGGCCGCTTCGGAACGATAAAAATGAAAAGAGTAGCGGTGTAATTCCTTGTAGGAAGCTAACCTCCGATGTAAACTTATAGATCACCTGGGAATCCACGCCCCTGATTCGCTTTGGTGCTGGCTATAGGTATGGAAAAAGGAAAAAGGTCCTGTAGCAATAATTTATCGTCCATCGAACTTTACGCACGAAATGGACTGCAAACTAAGCCACGTTTTGTAGGTTGTGCTAAACAACTCATACAGCCATATTCGCATAATTGGGAGACTTTAATGTCCACGACCTGGAAATACCGGCAATTGAGTGTGCACAGTTTAAAGCCTGTTTGCAAGAGCTAATTGCTAGCTACCCTCTGTACAACGACGTCACTTCACCCACCAGATATCGAACTGGTAACAGGCCGTCGACACTTGCTTGATTTTATGATAATCAAAGAAAAACTCATGGTGGGCGGACAAGTTACAAGCACACCCTTATGTCACAGTGACCATATTACTCTACTGTTTGACTAGTCAAGTCAAGTCATTCTAAGCATTATGTATCCGATTGGGTGCATTTTCAGCATTTTACTTTATCAGCAGCAGACCGATCAAATTAAACGTACAATTTTACAAATGGATGGACAAATATGAAAATGGTGCATTGCTGTCACTAGAGTAAACAGTCCCGCTTTGCAGACCAATCGTCGCACAATGCAGAACAGAAATGTCTGGATTTTCACCCAATAAACACAACGGAGCTTGAAAAAACCTTTATCCAAAACTTCTCTTAGGTAGCGTAAATTTGTGTGTCCAAAAGCAAGGAATCGGAGATCATGCGCTGTACCTTATCCATTGTATTTCACATGGTGATAAATTAAGACGATCTCAATAACCATGAAAATAGTTTGAACATGGATATTGTCTGACTGTTCTTGCAAAAGTGCCATAACTGCAGTAGCTAAAGTAAAAATGATGTTGGACGAAAATGGTTACTGCTGACAGAAACACTTCGCGGTAGATACTGTCACACATTATAAAGTGTTATCCACATTTGATAAGGGTGGATCTTGGAAGTCACGAGGACGTTTAGCACACGGGCAACGCACGCACCGGAGCAGAAATACTTCCCCGCCGAAGCACAAGCAACTGATTTCTAGGAAGCAAAACACGCAAACCCGTGCCTCTGAGGGTTTTGGCATGGCGAGCTCACAAGTGCTGTCCGAATGCAGAAACCTGTCCTGAGTACGTGGCACAGCGTACCTTTTGTGAGAACTTGGACCGTGAGGACAAGTGACGCATCAGCAGGAGTTAATGAAGCTATTCTGCACGAACCGTAAGCTCCTATGTAGGCATGCTAATAGCATTCGCATGATGCAGCGCACAACCCAAGCACGGTGCACGTGATCAGCGATGGAAGCATCCGATACCTTACGTTTTCATTACTCCCGTACGCTCCAGTGGTGACAAGCCCAAGCAGTCTCCACGTTTCTAGTATTCAACCGTCAGGTTCATCCAACATCGTATTCACTGCATAAGTTCCAGGTGGCATTTGGTGTACCCGCTGTGTGGTTGGATTGCGACTCGCAATCTCTATTCAGACCTCGGTCATTACGATCACAAGGACCATAACGGAATTGGTGGTTAAGTGTTGCTCCTCCCAACCCCATAACCGGTTTCGTCCTCATTTGGACTCATCAGATGGAGAGAGCCTGAGCTGGGGTGGACCTCGAGGCTTAGTGTTCAAAAGTTGACACCTTGACCACTATGGCTCCTAGGTCCGCGAGCAACGCTTGGCACAGCGGTAAAGAGCTCCAGAGTTCCAGAGTTCCAAGCGTTGCTCGAGGACCTAGGAGCCTCGAGGTCCACCCCAGCTCAGGCTATCTCCATCTGATGAGTCCAAATGAGGACGAAACCGGTTATTGGGTGTCAGGGTTGGGAGGAGCAACGCTTAACCACCAGTGCAGAAGTTGTTATCCTGAAAAGTCATAGTTGCATGGAGTAGACATCGTTCGACCGAAGGCTCTGCAGGCTCCAGCCAGTGACCTAGCAGCGTTGTCTAGGGGAAAATAAAATTCCACCAATATGGGAACGAGGGGTCTTCACTGATATTCATAAGGGATAGTCACACTGACACTTTCAATTACTGTCCGATAACGCTGCTTCCTGTACTTTCTAAAGTTATGGAGTCAACCATCTCAGATGCACTGATACAACAGCTTGAGAACGACAGCAGATTAGCCCCGGAGAAACATGGATTCCTCCAAAACAACGAATGTACTACGAACCTGTTAATTGCACAGAACCACTGGACCGAATTAGTTGATGGTGAAGCTGGAGTCGATGTCACCTACCTAGAATTCGCGAAGAAGCTTTAGTTGCTTAGATCATCGAATTTTCCTTCAGGAGCTTCGGAACTATGGCAACGACGCCCTAATCTTGGGTTTGAATGGGAAATTTTTTACATGATCCTCAGTTAGATGTGAGAGTACGAGAATCTTTGTCCGACGCAAATAAGGCGGAGTGCGCTATACCCCAAGGTTCGATGCCAGGGTCTCGCCTATTCTTGGTTCTCATAAAAGCTTCAGCACTGTCAGTTGCTACCATTTTCTTAATTTTCGCAGATGATGGTTGTTACAGCCTAGCGCTTGTTAAACTCCAGATGTCAGCAAAACGCGGTATTCGGCTCGCAGCACAAGACAACAGAACATGCTAGTTTCCACATTGCGTAGCTCAGAGGTTGACCACTGTCCTGTGCACAGTTCGTAACTGGCATGACGGTGGAAGCTGAGCCGCGCTATATCGCGGTCAACTGTCAGTCATGCTGGTCCGCCTCCGTCACCCTTGGTTTATTGGCACAAGCTGCTGACATCCGGTAGTCATGGGGTCGGAACC